CCCCCCCCCCCCAACTCTATCTGTAGCTCTCGGGCTGGTGAAATGCCTTACGTCATTTGATTGGCCGGTGTGTGTCTAGGGTGAGCGGGTCCATCGCGTCTGTCTGGTCGCACAGAAGGTCCTTCTGAATTATTTCGGAGAGCAAGACGAGTTGTACAAGGAATCGCTCTCTAAAGTGATATTTCAGACACTGGACGATATTTTTCAGGTAAACTGAGATCCTGTCCCAGAACGTCCCAGCTTCCTTCTTAATCTGAAACCTAATATTCGGAAAGATTTGACGAGTCCGAAACAGTTTGATACGCAATAGTCACCGATACCGTTACGCTCAGTCGTATTGCATTGCAGTACACGACCTTCACCTTCATCACAAGTGCTCTCTCCACCCCAGGTGTGGTATGTTGACGGTGAGCGCGAGATTATGGAGACACGCTTCGTTCTCAAGCTGTCGGCTGAGAATTCGTCCCCGTCCTCTTCTTGGAGAGAGCAGCTGGTAGCACTTCAAGGATTCGTGGTCCCACAGCGCGTGGAGTCGGGGGTGTACGTTGCAAGCGAAGACGTGAGCAGCGGCGGGTGGTTTCTCACATGTAATTCCTGTTGCCCAGTATATGTGCTGTATTCAACCGATTGGCGAAAAATCGTCGCCTCTCAAAAACGTCTGCAATGTTCCCAATAGATTTCGTATCTTCTCTCCCTCCCTCTCCTCTCTGTTTTCACTCACTCCCATTTCATCCTTTGCTCTCCCTCGTTTCGTGTTTTCGTGGGTGCCAGGAAATTTTTGGCTCTTGTGGAAACCTTCGGGATGGAGCAGCAAAAGTAGGGATCAACATGTTGACGAAGGCGTTGGCCAAGTGTGTGATGGGCGGGGCGAAAACCAGTGGACAATACATGTCACGATGTAAACATGCAGGAACGCCGATGTCACTGCATCGTCAGTGTCACGGACTCCGTCTAGACTTCTTGAGAGCAGTTTACATTGTTGACAGCCAAGGGACGCTGTGGTTTTCCCATGCCTCAGAGGTGCAAGTGCAGCCCTTGGCAAAGTCACCAGCTGTCATGGCGCCGTTCGCCCAGGACAATGCTGAAAGCAGGGCCCCTGCATACCAGCTAGCGGCGCCTGAACTTCAAGGGGTATTGCCGCAGACCACAAAGACAGGTGCACAACTTGAAGACGGTTTGTCTCGCGTCGACCCCACGCAGTTACATCCGGGAGAAGATAAATCGGACCGTGTCGCCCGTCCTCACCACAGAAAAGCAGAGGATGGAGGGTGCAAGCCAAAACCCACAACCCCACATCAGGATAACATGTACTCAGCGAGCACGCTATCGGATGCATTCCTTGCGAAGAGATCGCCATCGAAGCCAGCGAAATTTCGTTGGGATGATTTGCCATGTTGGGCGAGACAAGCCTCAAGAATTGCGCTCCAGGAACTAATGCGCCAGTCCCGACGGTGAGACTCGCTGCTGTTGATGTAGCCGTGGCACTCTCTGCGTCGCTAGTTTTGCATGAAACTCTACCGGACCGAGTTTAGCGCAAAACAAAATATGATGGTATCCACCAGCTCGCCACCCCACTTCGCTCAAACGCAGATCCCCGAAGAAGATGCGGGCGGGCCAAGCAGAATACCCACGGGTTTCTACAAACTCATTGGAATCGTGCACGAAACCCGAAAACGGTATCAAGGGCGAGTCGTTTAAACCGCGGCCAGAGCAGGTGCCGGCCCCGGTTGACGATGCGCACGAAAATTTGGATACTACAGCGCGACCGACGGTTTTGACTTCTCCGCTGAAACTGCACATCAGGCCCGAAGACACGATCAACCGTGGATCTTTGAGACCGCGGTCAGCGCAATGTCGAGTGCCGAGTGTTGGTGCGCACACGACGGTACCCATTGTTAACAGAAACGAGCTCAAGCTACATGTTGGCGGAGGCAACGTGATGTCCTACCGATGGATTGCGCGCGCGGTGGCTAAGCCAAATCATGGTGGCGGTGTGCTTGGCGCCATGGAGGCCCTTCACACATCCCAGGAAGCCATGGGACTTCAAGTTGCCCAACATGAGCCCTTCCTACTTATCGCCGTACCAGGCTTGTTTATGACTCTGGACTCTATGGAGAGATGGCTCGGCGGACTACTTGAGTACAATCATCGCGGTAAAATTCTACTGGTGAGCACATTTCAAAAACTCAAGTCTTTGCAATCGTCCACACACGTTCGACGCGGTGCACAACCTCGAAGAGCCAAGATCAGAAAAGGTGCCGGCCTCCCTGTGAAGTTCGCAAGGGTGTGTGCTGCACTCATGTCTGTCTTTCATCGCTCAGATAGTGACTCCAAGCTTCATTTGTTGTGCCAATTGCCAGGTCGGCTCCCTGGGACTGCCCGGTACTCAGTGGGCCGACGGAGAATTGCTTGATGCCAAAAAACAAGCTCGTGACCTAAGCATTTTGTTGTGGGAACTCATGGAACGGGGCGAGATATGCTTGAGTCCTCCGCTGTGCGTTGTGTTCGTCGGGCTTGGGTCTGGGGCGAACGCCATACTGCATTTCGCAGGTACGTTTTTGATGGACGCGAAATTCGCAGCTTTGCGGGATTCCGTGCGATTTTTGGCGCTAGTGAACCCCTTTCCTGCGTCCCCTAAAGCGACTTCGGAAATCCTGCTGGTCAAGAGACAGCTACAGACGCTGAAGAAGACTCTGGACAAAGGCGCTCACCATGAGAAGCTGCAGGCCTTGGTGACAGCATTGTTCTCGGCCGAGTACATAGAAAAGGTGAGGTGGATGTGCGCAGGTCGTTCGTGGACCCACGCCTGTAGCGGGCCATCTCTCGTGCGCAATGGACCACGACCTACCAGATTAAAATTCCATTGTCTATTCCCACTTGCGATACACAACAACGAGTGCACATGGCCATTATGCTTTTGACTCGTCCTCGATTTCCAAATAATCTTTTCCGAAAGAGTTGGGTATGTGGAGCAGTTGCAGGCATCTAGTGCCGTCATCATTGCCCCTCTGTAAATACCCTCAATATTTGTTCCTTTCCAGAGTGGCCGTGCGACCGTGCTGAAAGAGTTTTGGGCGACTAGGCAAAGTTTGGAGCTTCCGGAGCCAGGATGTTCAAAGTCAGCTACCAATACACCACGAAACCAACACACCCGGAGTATCGACCCCCCTGTGCTGGGGTGTATCGACGGCGTCCTGCGTGGAGCAACCTTGGGAACCTTGGAGAGCATCGTCAGTATTCCTGTTCTTCTGATCACTTCAACAAGAGATGCACTGGGCTCAAACACGGAGGTGCGATCTGTAGTTTTCAGCGAAGATACGAAGAACGCCCTATCAAGTTGAAGTCTGGCCTAGGAAGTAATTTCAGACCTTGACGATATACGAGTTATTTTCCGTAAGAAATTGGGTGCGTACAGCTATGGCTGGGGTCGCGTGTTTCAGCCACATGATGACTCGGCCATTTATTTATCCGCCATATCCCAGTTGGGTTCTTCGATCGGCGCTGAAGACGTGGACTCCCTGCAGCAGCTAGTAAGCAGCAACAGACATCGTCGGATCATGGTGTATCCCATTCAGGCAGGGCGGGAAGCTTTGCAGGAGGCGCCCGTTCGCACGTTGGAAATCATATGGGGGGCAATACATGCTGCCCAGATGAAACCAGTTGTTCCCCACGCTACTGGCTCAGGATACTTTCAAGATGGACAATCTAAGGATGACGTGTTAGACGTTATTGGCGTACCTGGAGAATGCGAGAGCTTGTTGCCAAGTTGTTCGCAAAGCGATGGCTTGGGCGAAGGTGTTTGCATAGATGAAGTCAATCCTCCAATTGGCATTCCCAGTGAGACCGAAAGCAACGGCAAAAGGAAAAGCAAGACTTCCTCGACCCCCTCTGAACGCAAGCGCGATGACGCATCTCCGAAGGGGAGGCGTGCACGTGAATTTGAAGCGCGAAAAGAAAGGGCCGCTGAGAGAAAAGCCAAGAAAGAACGACTAAAAAGGCAGCAAGAGTTGGATCGCTTGAAGAGAGCCAAGAAGCAGCAACACGAAATTCTGGAACAGCAACAAGAGTGCATTTCTATGCAGGAAGAAGATGACAGGAGTACTGCCGTGGACAGACACATCAGGTTAGAAAACGCACCTACGCACGGTGACATCCGCAAGAGAAGTGGGGAGCTATAGGGCGATTGCTGCAGGCGCAAGTGATTCGTGAAATTTCTCATCTTTCTTTTAGACTGGGGGTCACGTACATGTCGCTTGCGTTCGTCCTCAGGGCGAGTGTTTTGTTCGTTTTCCCCTCCATCGATCGGCAAATTGAACAGGGATTTGGAGATGTGGGCTTCAAGCGTGGCATTCGCCAAAGAGCGTGCCCTTGAACTAACGTCCACAAGAGATGCAAGCGACCAGAAGCTGATCGAAGACCAACTTGCCCGTGACCGCGCCGACCAACACACTCAACGCAACGAGCTGTTTCGACAGAGGAAAATCGATTTAATGGATCAAGACACCATCGATGAACCTGTAAAAGTGACTACAAGTGTTGCCGATGACCAGCTCCAAGAGGGTCGGTATGATGACGTTGATTTTGCTCGGGATTCCTGCCAGGAGCTGCTGGACCAGTTGCTTTTATTGCGCCAGCGAATCGTGAAGACCATGCAGATGGAACGTCTTCGACGCGAACAACTGGAAACGTTTCAAACACAATGCCAAAATATCGAAACAGACCTCCGCCAAGCAGAGCGACTGCAACGCACATACGCGCGTGGCGGGGTTACAGCCGAGATTCTGGGCGATGTCTCGGTGCAGGAGCTGAAGGATGTTGATGCATCCGTCGCTAGGCAGCACATTCTTCTAGGGAAATACCAGTCCGTACTGAACGAACGAAGAGAAATATGGGACCTTTGTGTGAGCCGCATACAGAAGTTGAAGATTGCACTTCGGGCCAAAGAGGCCGACCTTCTGGCACATCTCGAGGAAGTCCGGGTTAGCATGGCTGGTCTGAGGAAAAAGGCTGAAAGAATCCGTGCAAAGAATGAGAGTTTGGCTGCGCTCAGGGCAAGCGTCGAGTCTAAGACAAAGATAATGAAGAACCGGGTCGACCTCTTCACCACCGAACAGTCACTGCTAGACTCACACGCTGGTCAATATTTCGACAGCGACATTTGGCAGCAAGGAGTGACGCAGCGGATGTCTAAAGCTGCGTTTGCTCAGGATCTACAGGTGCGACGCAGTACATGCCAACGTGCACACGCGGCTGGAAAGCGTGAGAGCGACAGATGTCAAAGCATTTGTTGCTCTAGGTCAAGCTGAAACACTGTAGATTGTTGAAGCACATGTACCTGTTTCGGCTATCCAGGCTGAACCAAGACTGTGGTAGGCCTTCAATTAACAAATACTGTCCTGTGTGACCCGGGCTGATGATGTCCAGAATAAACAGGAATGCAACACGTACGTTCTTTGTGCGCAGGTGGAACTCAAGCGCCTGGCCCGCAACATAGATGGCAATATCCAGCAAGCAAAGCTGATCGACGAGACCCTCGCTAGGGACATAGCGGAGGGTCAGAAGGTCGAGATGATCACCCAGAAGCTCGGCCAGATTGTTCACGTCTCGCAGGAGCGCTTACATCGAATGGTATCAAGGACGGTTGTGCAGGAACTTCGCGACGTACTGGATACGCAGCAAAAGTCTGACGATGCATCGGTGTCGGCCAAAACGGAAGAAAAAACCTTGGCTGAAGTGGTGAGTTTGGGAAGGTTTACCCATTGTACCACAGAGCATTAGACTAATGGAGAGGAAAATTACACCCTTCTAATGCTGTCGATTGGGAGCACCCTGCCTGGTACTGCTGTAGAAGGGCAACGTTTCTCATAGGGTGCTTATGGGCGACCAACGCACCCATCCCACCTACCCGGGCACGATCGGCTGTTGGGGCGGGGGAGGGAGTCCGCCTTCAATTTTATCCTACATAGCCTTTTTGTCTGTCGGTCGGTTGTCAATACACAGTCAAATAGATTTCGGCCCACTCACAAGGAACACCTATTTTGAGCAAAGCTGGAATCCGTACTTCTCAACCTAAGCAACCGTTTAGGGTTTTAGTTTAGAGTCGGCAGTCGATCTCAGTTTCCGCCATTCATGTTTTGTTGATAAGCCGAGTCTTGGTTTCTTGTTTTGTGTGTCTCTTGTTAATGGGCGGACGCTGTGTGTAACGTCGTGTTTGCACGTTTACTCTCACAGATTCGCGACAAGTCAAGCCACCAGCGAAGTCTGGAAGAGAAACAGTGGGTCGCGCTGGATATCCTCATCAACCCAGAACTCTATACTGCCTTGTCTGTTGTGGAAAAGGAAGAGCTGCAGCTGAACGACGAGTACAAAACGGAGTTGACTCGGGAGGATGTGGCCAGGATCCTTGGGTTACCTCACGAGATACAGCTTGCTCTGCCGCAAATGAAATCAGCGGTAGAAATACATGCACACAAGCTATTGACAACGTATACGCTTGAACACGGTGATGCGGAATTCGCCAAAGCAGACGAACAAAGTCAAGACCACTTCTTCCTTGCACCCCAGGTAATGTTCGAATGCAACGGTAGCCCGTGACGGAATATTGTAAAGCTTTCATTAGCTGGCCCATATTCCTACGACGATGTTGCCAACTTCACGCTCTCATGTTTGAAAACTCAGTTGTATGTGACGATGGATGCAAGATAGTGTGATGTGGTTCGGCGTAAATGTAAACAATTACTCCACGTGACACATCGTACACAGCTGAGTTTACAACAACACACAACATCTTACTAGCAGCGCCCTATTGCAGGTGAAACCATCTGCAGGTACTTGTAGTCTTCCTGGAGAAGATCCAGCGGGCACTATTCTCCCAGTCGCTCGCGTGGAGCGCATTGGCATGAAGCTAGAAAAGCATCAACGTTCGATCACGTGAGACGTTTTTCGCCCATAGCAACAAGCAAATCGTGTACGGAGTGGATGTCATTCACCACGCAGCATGCTTGAGTCGACCTGCCACGTAGTACGCGTCGCGTCGCATGCATGCGAGATCAGCGTTTCTTTCGTAGTGCTTAACACTCTCGATCGCAAGGTGCTCTAATACGGTCGCCATCATCTCACGTTGTTGCAATCGCTAAGGGCCGTTTTAAACGGACCGACTTTTTTGTCAAAATTTTCGACATTTGCCTTTCAAAAACTTGGAACCTGTGTGCAGTCATTTTAAACGTGTGACGTGGACTTGTGCAACTTGTGTCAAAAAAAATGACGCCGTCCGTGAGTTGTAGCGCTCACTTCGAGACAACACACACGACACAACACAAACCGCGGAAAACACATCATGGACACCGACCGACATGGATATCACGACCACCCAGCGTGGCCGGCAGACCAAAACCCCGGCGAAATTCCAGCAGACGGGCTCTCTCGGTGCCGCCGTAGGCGGTGGAGGCTTGCTCTCCAGCTATATATATAGATATATATATATTTATATATATAAATTATATATAATTACATATAATATATATAATTATTATATATAAATATATTATATAATAAATATATATATTATATATTATATATACAATGGGTTGCCGCGCCGTGGGTGCAAAGCGCTGAGTGACAGTCGATGTGACGACAGTCAGCAACAGCACCGTTGCCACTACTGCCTTCAGCCTCTTGAGGACATGGGTGTGTGCTGGCCTAGCGCGTGCCCGTGGGCGAGGAGAGCCGCTCGAATCTGTAGGCGCCCTGCGCTTTCTACGGTCGGCCATGACTCACACACAACCCTAGCTGACTTTCTACGGTGAGGGGCACTCGTGGTGCAGACGCAGCAGCCCTCGCGTGCCTCTGCAAGGGTACTTTGGAAAGTGCTCCAAATACTTTNCCTAGCGCGTGCCCGTGGGCGAGGAGAGCCGCTCGAATCTGTAGGCGCGCCGCGCTTTCTACGGTCGGCCATGACTCACACACAACCCTAGCTGACTTTCTACGGTGAGGGGCACTCGTGGTGCAGACGCAGCAGCCCTCGCGTGCCTCTGCAAGGGTACTTTGGACAGTGCTCCAAATACTTTGAGAGAGTTGTCAAAAAGTTGGAACGAAGTGGAGCAAAGTTTTCGCGCCCAACTTCGTTCCAAATATTTTTGAAAAAAATGGACACTTTCAAAAATTTTGACAAAAAGTCGGTCCGTTTAAAACGGCCCTTTCCGCGTTATGATGTTACCTGATCAGTAGCGTGGCTAACTCCATGTCCAACGCCGCGATGTCCCGCGCTACAATTCGACCTTGTCAAAAGCGTGGTCAACTCCATGTCCGACGTCGCGATGAAGAAGCTCCGTGCAAACGATGGAGAAATCGCTATCCGCACAGGAGAGCGAGAGGTTTACCATTCGGCGGCTAGCCTGCTTGGAATCCAAGAGTCACGCGTGCACAGTTTCGCGATTGCGGACCTTGCTCCCATGTACTCGGTCGACCTCAAGGCGAGTCAACATGTGTGTTCATCTTTTGAGAGCATTCCGTGGTAATTTGTGGTATTGTGTTGTGTTGAAATGCAAAAGTATCTTCGAGTAGAACACCTGGGCTGCTGCACTGGCATTTCAATTCCACCTTCGCCTCCCGTGCTACTATCGACAGCCTAAAGTACTATGTGAAAACGTCGTGTGCGGTACATGATCTCGAACTCGAGATAGTTAATTTACGGTGTCGGGTGAGAATGCGAGCTAGTAGTTCGTTACCAGCCCAGCACATAAGTGCCACCAGCTTTCCGATATGTATATTAAACCTCGTCTGTCAGATTTGTAGTGGAGTCTGTTCAGCAACGCATGCACACCCTTTTCTGCGCTATGAACAGGTAGTCATCACGTTTTCGGGTTGCATGGACTCCAGAGGCTTCAACAAAGGCAGAATTTGCGCGGTACTCCGTCGGAAATCAGAGTACTTAAGGGGGGTTGAGGCCTCTACCGGGGAGTGCATTGGGTTTTCTCCTCATGCTCGCCAGGAGCTAAATACTGGAGACCAGTTCTACCAAACACCTGGCACCATCCTGATCCAGCATTGTCCAAGGCGCGTCCCCCTAGCTCGTGGTACGTACGAGGTGGAGGTGACCGCTTTGGGGCCAACGGAGTACTCTGTGGTTGTGGTCGCCGGGCAGTGCGAGTTGTGCGCAAGTCTGGTGGACAAGCGGCTACAGGAGGCACGAAAGTTGAAGGTCAGTAACAGTGTAATTCAGCCGGTTCGCAACGATTGAGTATGACTGTGTGTGGTGTTTATTCTGTGCAAGAGTATATTACACCTCTCTCGGACTTACATAGCCAGCCTCTTGACCAGGTGCGACTGACCGATCTCGAAGGCGAACTGAGCGACACGTGGGAATGTGTGCGTCTGCGGGAACGACAGTACCACGTGTGCATTGCGCTTATCGAGGAAGCTGGCTCAGAATGTGTTCGCTGCCAAGAGGCCATCGATGGACTTTGCGCGCACCTTCGCCCACGCAGCGCAGGCAGCATCGTTGGATCATTGCCTGAGTTAAGTTCCACCGAAGACAGCGCATCCGCCACCCGGAGTTCAGGAACGCGTAGCTCGTCCTCAACATCGCGGTCTACGTCCGCGCTCCTTACTACCTCCAGTGCCAGCACTGGCTCCAGTACTGCCAGTTCGTCGGAACTGTCTGAAGCAGAGCGAGCACAAACCTGGAACGAGGTTGCCGCCATCGAAACTGAGCACATGCATTGGGGCCGTCTATACACAATGCGGTGCCAGGAAAAAACGAGCGTAAAGGAAGCCCTCCAAAAGTTGATGAAGATAAGAAGAGACGGTAGAGCCGAGAAGGCTCGCCTCGAAGAACAGCTTCAACAAATATCCGCCGAAATCCCGATTGTGGTCGAGATTTTGAATGGCCCCAACGCCGCTGCTGAGATATCGCGGGAGCTCAAAGTACGCTCGGATGAAGGCAACGGTGGACGTCACCCTTCCAGTCGTGAGGGCCCACGAAGTTTGACGGTTTCTCTTGAGACTCCTGCCGGGAAAATTCGACAGGCATTCGAAAGAAGTGGTTTGGAGGCACTGACACTGGAAGAACAACAATGGATTACGCTGGACCAGTCCATGAATCCAGACAAGTATGAATGGTTGCAACGGCAGCAGGGGGAAGAAGCTTGCTATGCTCTCGACAAAGGAAAAAAGAAAGGCACGAAGAAAAAGCCCAACAATCCTGCTCTCAATCAGTGCCGTTTCCAACGTGAGGAACTGATGCGCATCTTGGCAGAATCGAGTGAAGACCTCACTCGTCGGGAAATGCATGTGCGAAAGCTCTTGCACAAGTTTCCCGACGATCCACAGCTTTTCAACCCCCAAGGTCAAGTGTGCAGTGAGGCGCATGACTTTCCGTTGCCAGAGCGAACGCGCATGAAGAAGCACGACGACCGTACGGCCACAGAGAAGGAATGGGTCTCCCTCGACAAGATCTTGAATCCACTGGCGAGTGACGAGCCTCGTCTCCAAGGAAAGCTGATCCCTAGAGCGCCACTAAGTATTTGTTGATCGAGAACTTCACGTTTTACAATGGCATTGCCTTCAATGTACCAACCGTTTGGTGCTGCATCAAAGGTTGACCCTGTGGCCACAGCAACAGAGAACGAATCGAAGCTCGGCTTCTCCGCACAAGTGTTGTTATTTTTCTAATGGTATCGCCTTGTCGTATCGACAGGGAAACCACGTACCAGCACGCCAAAGAAGAAAGTGTAGGATAGCAAGACGATGTTGCCTAGAGAAGCGCGGTCATCTGCTTTGGTGCCATGGTTGCGTGGTTTCCGTGCTCTTTCCTAGGTGGAGGTTTCCCTTTTTCAATAAAGTAGCACACTGCTCGCCTCCGTCAATCTCCAGATTTGGAGGCGTGCCAAGGGAGGCGTGCCCGGGTCCACTAACGACCAACGTCCTTTCGAACCTGGCAAAGGCGACACAACCCTTCATGAGCAGGTGACCCGTCGTACCGTGCTACCTCAAGAAATTGGAGGCTTGAATCCCGAACTGTGTGGTACCTTGTGTGCATTACCGCGGACTTCCAAGTGCTCTTCTCTCGCACCATTGACTCGTCTTTACTTGAAACTTCCCCAATGTAGGTGGTTGCGTCCTACGATCAAACGTGGGCATGCCCGTTCAATCGAGATGACCTTCTGCGGATATGGGCTCACGCCGAGGATACCTCGCTGGAAACAGAGGACGAGAAGAGGGCCTTCAAGCTTCTCTCAGTCTATAATGGGACCTGTCCGGTACAGTGTTTTATCTGCGTGGACAGCGCATGTAGCGGACATGCGAGATTAATGTTTGTCTGACACCTGAGCCAACATTGTATGAGACACGCCGTCTTTGTCTGAAAAGCACCCTCATCACACTACTTGTTGGCCTCACCAGGACGTATCAAAAGGCAACAGCCATGGCTGGAGAGGAATTCAAATGGGGAAGAGCACGGAAGGCCTTCGCACAGACATCGATGAACGTCTACGGTGTCTCCAGCAAGAGTTGGACCGGGTGGCGCATTGCAGCAACCCGAAAATCACAAGCTCTATGTTGCACGCAGTCCCACAGCGCTACCCGACGAGCACACTGCGATTGCACCTTGAGGCGGAGATTGACCGACTGCTTCGCGAACAAGTGAGTGAATCACAATCTCAAAGGCATGTTGTACGATTGTGTCGTCGGCGTTCCAAGCGCTTCGTCGCAACCTCAAGTTTTCTCAAAACATGACAATGTTGCGACATGGTCTTCCTCGGCGCTCCCCAGGTGCAGCATCGAGAAAGGAAGAACGTGTACCTCTTAGAAGACTTTACCAGCAGCGAGGAAGATGAAGAAGACTACGGACAAGGAAGAAAAAAAGAGAAACGCAAGACGCGCCGATCAAAGCGGCGTGCGGGCCGCGGAGACATGAACATCTTTGATGCACGGAAGCGCATGCTGCTGAAATCGACAAAGACACCTGTTCAACGTGAAAACGCTAGGAGGATCGCCAATCTCGGGCCTGGCGGATGCCCGGCATGCATGAGCAACCCATGCCAACGCATTCCGGTCGCTAACGTCGAGGTGTGTTGGCAATGATTTCCGCCTACATTTTTTCGTGGGCAAATCCCCACTACGAGGTTGCAAATGATCATTGTTCATACCTAAACATCAATCGGGCGTGTGTTACGAACGGGATTAGCCTTTTCGACGACCCCGCAAGAATGAGCGAACGGAGGCATCGCTGCATTGTTTGCTCGATCTTGATTGAGGTACCGCTGATCCTCCAAGAATTCCGATGTTGTGCAACCGTGCAACCCACATCAAATGGCATGTGACATTTCAATTCCAGGAGACCAACTTCCGCTTGGAGCGAATCGCAGAAGAGCTGCACTTTGCGCGCATTAGCACGGAGAACATGATTGAGAGCACTTGGCCATCGTCGGTAGAAATGGACGGGAACACAATTTTCCGACGAGTCGACTTCATTGACGAGCTGAGCTCGGAACAAAGCTACTTGAGACAGAGGCTAAAGCTTCATTTTATTGACGAAGAGTTCCACGAAGCTAACCGCACCTCCAAACAGCATATTGAGTGCGTTGCATTGCACGGCTACCGGACATTGCTTTGGACTAAAGATGCACGGGTTGCCCTTGAGCGTGAGCACAACCGGCTGGTGGCTCATGCGGTGGCTGTTGAAGTTACGCACGATATCCTGCAGTGGATGTTGGAAGGATGGCATTTCGGAGAGCGCCAATCTGAACATGCATCACTCAGGCACACACCTGCCGTGGACGTGGATGGTCTGGTCAAGGCGAGTATCTAACCCAAGGTGGCCTCTTTGATATCTTTAGTAGTAGTAAAGCTCGTGGCGTGTAGGGGAGCACACAACCATGTCTGCTTGGGTCCGTTTCGCTCCTCTGTACGCTCCGCTAGATCAAGTTGATACAACTGTAGACAAACTTCCGTATCGGATCATGTTGCTGTGGTGCCGTGCCTGCTGAGTAGACGTCACACTCCTCGTTGCCCGCCATACAAGCAGGAAGACGAAGCACGGACAGAGCGAAACGAAGACAAAGCCAACATGCTAACTGTTCCACCGGGCATCGATGGAAGCAGCTGGAACAATGTCTCCGAACGAATTGTCAAGGAGGGCGGCATCCACGATAAGGAGATTGAGTTCATGGAATCGACGATGCGCTTTGGTCTGTTCTGTGTGACGGTCATGTACTTCCGTGCACGGTGGTTGCTCCATCGACAAAGAAATTGCGCATCAGATTTTAAGCTTGGGTGGACAATCGACACAAGCGTTCCAGTACGAGCCCAGAGCAAACCTGTCAACCAGATGACCGTCTCCAGCACCCAGCCAGGATACCAACGGGTGAAGGTAACTGCGCTGTGTCTTGTAGGTGTTGTTACGGAGGCATATTCCCATTTTTCTCCCAAACTCATGGGTCAACTTCACTGTGTGTGCGTTGCAGGTCCGCAAGGAAAAGGAGCAAGCAGAGGTGTTGGCAGACTTCGCGGGGTTTGTCGCAGTAGAAAAGAGAGAGTTAGATGCCTCACAACTCATACAGCGAATCCTGCGAGGGCACATCGGGCGCAAGGCAGCTCATCGATGGCGTGAAAAGCGAGCGGAGTACAACGCTACAAATTCACTCATGGTTTCCGCTGCCGTGTTCATACAACGTTTCCTGAGGGGGTGCTGGGGAAGAAGTCGCGCAAAGACGATACGGGCTGGCATCGCTAGATGGCTAGCCCATCTTGTTGACGACGAAGCTCGCGAGTTTGAAGCTCAAGTTTTGAGCACGAACAAGCTCGAGGCCCTCAAGAGAGGCGTCGAAGAGCTGATGGTAGACGATACTGGCTCAGACAGCTAACGAATCGCTGGAGGATGGTTTGCTGAGGGCTTGTACTTGTGGGTGACTTGAAAGATAGTCGTAGCCAAAGATACGGTATCGTGTGTGGTAGGGAGCACTCGGTGACGCACGACGTACAGTTTTTTTTTGTCTGTGCACCCCTCGGCACCGGTGGCAGTACACCCATTGTCGCTTGACGGCATTGCTGGGTCTTGCCTCCCCCCAACACCCACTTCTACACTTGATGTTTCTAGAGCGTTAGCGTGAACCTCCACGTGAGACATTCCTGTGGTGGATAGCACCACAATAAACTTGGTGGTACAGAAAGCACCATCACCAAACAATACAAAACGTTCGTGGGCTGGACTGGGACCGGTACTCGGTTGGTTCCAAGAATGACCAGCAAGGGTTGTTATCAGTTTTTTTGCTAAAGCGTTTACCGGACGTGACGGCATCGGCGGCTTCATTTTCATTACCCAATAACCCAAATGCCTCAATGCCTGATACCAATTTCTTGTAAGTATCAAATGATGATGTTGTGTTTCACTGCTTTATTGGGTGCGGTACATCTTGCATTGCAACGACTCAAGCTTCAACGTGGCGCCTGGAATCACGTTAAAATACACATATTCTGCGATGTTGAGCGCTGTACTATTTTCATGGACATAATGTCGGAATGGGAACGTTTCAGGAAAAGACACGATTTGATTATTAGGAAAGATGCAAGGCAGGTATGCCCGTGATGTCGACTAGTTTTGGTTGGCCTCGATGGCTGCAGAACTTGTTCTACAGCGCCAGCAAGGGAGCTGGGCTCTTTCGCCAAAGTGTATCATTCATCCTCTACCGAAAACTGTGGCGGTTTCATTGTCCCATCTAGAACTCCAGCCCTCCTATGGTCTTTATCTCGTGTGATACAGTGTCTCGAGATGGGGGGTTGCGCCGATGAGTTCATCTGCGGAGCGTTTTACTCTACATATTGCGCTTTCAGCTTATGTGAGGCTTTCGACAGCTCATCCCTCAAGTCGCTATGAATAAAAGATATGTAGGCACAGCGCTGTGCACAGTTGCAGTTTGTATTGATCCGAATCGAGGCGAATTACCTCGAGGTTTACCACCTCCGAGACTCGAATCCACCACCTGGATGTTTTTGCGGGGTTACCACAGTAAAGCGGCAGGGCGATCGAACAGGGGAACGCGATTGGTAGCATCTCATCGAAGAATAGCTGTCGCAGCATGTGTGTCGATGTGCTCTTAAATTGGTGGGAAGTATTGAGGACGGCGGCCGGAACGGAGAACTTCTCCCCACCAAGAGAAGGTATTGAAACAGAATGAACACGACGACGTGGTCCTTCGGAGCGAGACATCATAGTACGTTTTCTGATGAGGCTATTCCGATTCATCACGCAGTCAACCGTTGACTGAGTGTTGTGGCGGATTAGCTCCTTTGGGACACACAATAAGGGTTTGGGGTGCAGATCCCGGTATACACCTATGCACCCCCGTTTCTGCCTCAGGTAAACAGGGAGCAAAAGAGCCACCTGTTCCGTACAATCCCTTGGGGGGGGGCTAGGAGGTGTCGGGATGATGGACCTATTTGACAGTGGCACGAAATCATCCCACAGTACACAGGGTACGCACACACACGCTGCTGACCACAGGGGGTTACTGCTACACCTCAACTTTCCCATAAGAACAGGTGCTCAGTTCCGACGTGGCAACAAGATCAAGAACCCGCCTTTCTTTGTGGTGTACCAATGCGCATCCCGACAAGAACGGAGCCCCAAAACACGGCAACTGCACGATAAGAATTCAGGAAGGTGGGGGACGACCTCAGCGGCAATTAATCTCAGATTCCGGACCCNGGGGGGGGGACTCCGTGAAGTAGTACTTGTACGCGCGGAGGGGGGGGGGGGGCTACTCTCATGTTTTGCATGCCTTAGTGGTTAGACCAATCATTGGACACGTTCCTCGAGAGGACGGAGCATTGTCCCCACAGGACCGATCGGATCGCCTTGTACGCAGGAAATACAGTATTCGCAAGAAAATAGAACAGGGAGGGGTATTCAGACCCTATTCCTTAACCCTAACCCAACTTCCCCGACTGTATACAACATGTTTTCGGAATACAAAAGCCCTGCGAAGGCTACTGGACCGATCACCGATGACCAATCGTTCCTTCCTACTTTACCAAAGTTGTCCCAAAAATGTTTTCCTTAGCCATCAATCTATCCTTTCGACTTCACTTCCCACCTATTCAACTCACTTCCTGCGCCCCCAGTACAACTAGCGTTCTCCTGGCTATTTGATGACTCAAACATGTCCCTGCACCTTCCTTCTAGTTTTCCCAGCTCCGTCATGTACATTTCTCTCTACTTGCCGTACAACGGACATCCCGCAACTATACGAACCCGGCCTTCGCACTCGGAGCCGCCTTCACATGTGAAGTTTTCGTCGTCATCGTCTATATACCTTCCTAAATCTTCGTCTACGTTCTCGAAGACCATGTCCCAAGTCATAAATTTGGCCTTCAGCTTTGTCCCGGCATCCATTGGTCCATGTAGGTACTCGTTGAACCCTTTTCCTTCTTTCAACATTCCGCACACATCTAGGCCCTCCTTGTCGTTGGTGTCTTTGGTTAGATTCTGTTCTTCTCTCTCGGCGAAAGCAACACATATCTTTTTCTTGAACCCCTCTAGGCCTACCGTTTCCAATACATCGACGTAATCGATTTCGAGCTCATACGTCATCTATGACCTCAACCACTCCTATAACCTCAACCACTCCTTGAGTTGTCTACCCTGTTTCTTGTTTGGCTACTTCGCCTCCCAAGCTATTTTCGGCAACCTCTCCTCTCCGACATCATACCTACGGTACTGCATTCATCTTCAATGCGTCTCGCGCGGAGGGGGAGGGGGGGTGCCCGATTATACTGCTTGTGCTAAATACACATACATATTAATTTTTCTTGAAATATATCCACCCATCCATCAGAACAACCTGGCTGTGTCTTCTGCATGGGGTAATCGGCGTAGAAATAAGAACAAGAATCCCGCCTATCCTAGGGGAATGCCTGCTCTAAATGTAAGAACTTGGAAAATACAAACATGTGCTCGGTTTGAGGCAACCAACAAGCTAAGAGTCGAGCCTTACGCGATAAACGGTCCAAAGTGATGGCGTGTTCTATATCCTGTAGCTATATGTAACCTCGAAGCTTGCCCATAGATAGATGACGTCCGCCGCGCCGGTGGCCTAGTGGCCAACCAACCTTTTGCAAGCCTACTTACGGCAGTAGTAGAAACAATACACCGAGAGATGTGTAGACTGGCGCCATAAGAAAATGGGACAAACACAAGCACAGAAGAAACAAACCCTGTTTTCTAAGTGATCCTCGCGTAAGGAAGTGATCTCAGCGGTGTGACACGTTCCGCAATGATTGGCCCCAGAGAGAAACAGACAGACAGTGAGTATCGTAAGGTGTTCGTAGGTAACAAAAACAGCTCTCGAAAAGTTTTTTTGGAAGAGTAGTCCATGCATACGTCTGGCGGACATGGAGCCATCCTACGCATCTTTAAGGTTTGTTTAAAAAAAAAACGAAAAAAGAAAGACTTGAACCAACGCGACATGACCTCACGCAAACTGTACCGGGTAGATAATAAATAATAGTCTCTGTTGGTTCCCCACAGAGTAATTAAAAAGCGCGGCAAGCCTCGGGCAGAGTGGGCGTTTGTTCATATCAAGTGGTTGTGGTACATCTGTTACCAACACGGAGATTGTGGAGCTTCGAACCAGTCAGTCAGTCAGTCAGACGCAATCAATCCGACACATGCAGGAAATGTGGGTGGGACCGCACCGCCCGAACCCCACTAAATTTTGTGCTCCACATACAAGTGAGAGAAGGGACGCTTGCCAATAAACAAATCGACGCAGCGGTTCAGGGGATGTTCGTGAGCGAAAGGTTAGTGAGACGAGACTGGTGGTGTACTCTGCATTCGGAAGGGCCGATACAGCAGCAGAAGGAGTCTACCGCAGCAGACTAGTCTATAGTCTATGTACACATGAATGACACAGATCTTTCTTTGTGCTGCTTGTGGTGTACATGCGTTATCATGCGATTCCAGATGGGAGGAAGCACGAGTTCGCATCAAAGTAGGTTTGCCCCCCGAGGCGCTAACCATATGATGATGCGAAGTACTCCAACTAGAGGGCCTTGTTTTTAGGGCATAGGGGCACATTTGGGGAAGCGGGGTAATCGGTGTCGCTTCAAAAATTCCCTGTGTACCTGTGAAGGATATGATCACGCCGCTTGCGTCTTGCGTCTTGCGTCTCGTGTCTCGTGTGTGCACGTTGCACGTTGCATGTGTTGTAGTGTGATTCTTCATGCGTGTGTGTGCGAGCTGGTGTGTGCTGTCTTGGCCTACTGGTCGACACCCTTTCCTTTGCGTAGGTTATAAACAGTCACAACGTCGCTGCAGAAGGCCATCGCAGAACTCTGAAGGGTATGGGAGCGCAGCGGTAGACGCCCTTGTATTCACGCCGCATCTCATGTGGCTGGTTTCTGTACCGCGTGCTCGACCAAACGTATCTCTCGCATGTCTCTAGCAGCCAGAAGCTCGCCGACGGATGTTCTCCCGACCAACGATGGCTCCGGAACGATTCCCCCACTTAACGAACAAGGAACCCCGACGTCAGGCGTGGACCGGCGGCCACTCTTTGCGAAGGATGGGTCTTTTCGTTCTCCACGGTCGCAGCCTTCTCCGCTTGCGGGCCCACACCCCCCGAGACGCCCTCCACAGGGCATGGCTGAAGCCCTGGGCATGAAATTACCAGGGATTTATGCCCAAGGCAGCATGAACGCTGGGTCTATTCCTGGAGCCTCTAGCTTTGTGAATCCCGTGAGTTCAAGCGAAGAAAATGGCGAGACTTGTCCCAAGGAGGACAAGAGAGACCAGAAGGTTGGGAAACGAATCGACAGCATGAGCATGCACGGAGCGCAGACACCGCCGACGCTTTCAGCTCTGCCAGAGTCCGAGGATATCCATCCCGGGCGAAGGGATTTCAATAGCCTCAAAGGATCATCGCCTGCCTCACCTTCAGCGGAAGCGTCGAACCGTGCCGAACCGCGGTTGTCAGCTGAAATTGCACTTGCGGCCCGCAAGGCTCAACGAGTGGCGGAGGTCAGAAGCATAGCACAGGAGGTGGTCAGGGTTTCGGAGCACGATACAAGCACAGGAAATGATGAGAAAGAGCGGGGGGAAATCGAGAGGTGAGCGTTTAGTGCGCAAACACTACTTTCCGGAAAGAGTACCTTGTTTTTACGTACTGCTGTAGTACGAGGTACATGACACGCATTTGACACAACCATGCAGGTTGGCATTCATGCATCCTCACTTGGTGGAGTTGGAACTTTCTCGAAGACTGCATTGATGTACTTTTGGTGACTCGTACGGTGCCGACGTGGTTCCAACGGGAGAGCGCGTGCAACTCTCATCTGCTCCGCCATATTGCACTTCAATTAGCAAGTTCTGGATTTCTTGTAAGGAATGTCTCGCGATACAACACCACACAACTCGAGCGAGAGCAGTGGGTTTTTGTTTCTTCGCACGGGCAGCTTTAGTTGGACAGATCCCTAAAAATATATCGTAAGCTTACTGCGGCTACAAGTTTCACCACCTTTTACGACGTACTGTAACGATTGGACTGATCGTTTCTTCTCCCAAGAAACTATCCCGGTTCTTACAGAGGTACTCTGCAGTCTTTCTGCTATCAGGTAACGTTACCGAGAGCGCCACAATCTCGATGTGGACGAGACTGCCCTGCTTTTTGATTACTAGAGGCAAACCCCGGTGACTCCTATGTTATCGGCTCGCCCGGTTGGAGCGGAGTGGACTGTCCCCGGAGCTACGAAATGGTGTACTTTTCTCGAACGAATTTTTTCTTTTCACATGTCGATTTTCTTCAAAATATTCCGTGGTGGTGCCCCTCCAGAAAACTGTACGTTCCGAATTCTCCCCTACCCCGCTATCCCTTGAAGACACAAACCGTTACATATTTTCAGTAAGCCATACGAACTTGAACAACCCCGTCGAGCAGTACTGTGCGCCACAAGCAACCAAAGTGCTCGAATTTTGCCAGAGCCTGCCGATGTGGTGTGTGAATGGCATCGCGTGGCTTGACCGTAGTAGGCCAACCAGAAACAACTCTACAGGTTTCTAGTGAACTGTGGCTAGATGCAGCGGCCGAATTTTACCCCGAACTGCCGGATCTTGTGGATGCTTTGGCGCGTCGACGCCGTTCTCCACGTTTGTTCCCCCGATGAACAAACGGATTAAAGACGAATCAAGCTGGCATACCGGACAATTTCCTAGACCAAAATCATGTAGAGGTTTGGTCTATCGCACAGTTTGGATTCGATCCATACGGATGTTATCAACCAGAAGCTTTCCCAGGTGATTTTTACGTCCCCTTTACATGAAGCTGCTTTTTGCGCAAATCTCGCACTCTACGTTCAATTTGCTTCGTTTTTCGTGCCAACCGCCGATTCTTTTGTACGTCTTTTTTTCCCTTGATTAGCCCAGCCTAGCCGTAACTATTCATATCGAAGGACATGCCAAAAGAGTAAGTTGACCGGGGGTCAAGGCTTCACTCAAATATTCGTACGTTGAGCATGGCGTGCAGACAACGTATTTGAGAGCTGCTAAAATCAAACCAAGCGATTACATTTCAAAGAAGACTTCACGATGTAGCGGTGCATGACGGGACTCTCATGCGCAACAACAAGCTACGCAACGATACAAGTCCAGTTGAACATAGCCTTTGGACAACTACTGGTGATGGCGAACATATAGCGGCCGCCCCGATGATTCAGCGCCGTTTGTGGTTTTGAAGTTGATAAAATAGGAAGTGTACTGCTCTAGACTCGTTGCTATAGTTTGAGGTAATAGCAAGTGCCTTGCGGCAGCATCAGCAACAACGAGGGCTACCTCGAGATGGATGGTGTCCTGAGGCTTCAATCAACATGCTTACCTCGGTCCCATGGATGTTGTGCCCCTCTTTGCTTTGCGATGGCGAGGAGCCATGTCCTAGTGAGCCTTCCACAAAGCGCCAGAGACGTGGTTATTTATCTCAAAAGGCAGGTTGTTTGGAACAGCTGCTTTCCGGGCCTGTTATGCATGAAACGGCTCAATTTTCACCCAGCCCCTTAACCAAAGCATAGCGTCTTGTAGAATCTCTTGTGAAATACCAGCGAATTTCTTTGAGCTCGTTTGTTCATCGGGGTTACCAAAACTTGGGATTCGACGCCATCGAGCATACAGAAGCAGGTGTGAACGTACCTCCTTCTTGAGCTGTTCGCATGCAGCTTCAAAGTCACAAGATGGTGTTCGTTTGTGGGTGCCCACGACTGCCATGTGTTGAATCGAAAGTTTTCGCACACTACACCAGGAGCATGGCCGACTGTGTGGGCTGTGGTTGCTTGTGAGGAGGTGCTCTGGTGTTGCGTAACTAAACGTTGCTCTGCCTCTATCTCTCTCTCCCCCTCTCTCTCCAATGTGGTGAACATTTTGCCTATAATTGGACACGCTCAAAACGGCGTTGTGGACTCCTCGATCAAAATCTTCAAGACCTCTTCTGAGAAGATGCGGTCAGGGGAGTTATTGAACATCTGGACACTTGAAACACGGTTGTACGTTCGGAAAATATTTCTCCTATGGCTCCTAGGACCAAATGGCGCTTTGTGGACAATCTGCAGCAATACGTGGCTTCCACCAGGGACTGTATTCTAGAAGCTTGATGCATGAGACATGTTGGGGTGCTGCAGAAGGAAGCATCATTACGGGGCCCCGGGAGGATATGGGGCTCCGACATGTTCAGCCCAGCCTTGACCAGTTTGGTCGGCACTTACCGAGTCGCCTTGACCCTATCTAGTGCCGTGCACGGTCAATAAAACTGTTCCTTCTGCAGGGCACTGGCCGCCGTCGACGAGACTAGACGCAAGCGCATGGAGCGCCAGCACGTAGAACACAGCGGAGTCCAGCAGGCAAGTGGAAGGACGAGGCTTTCTCCTGGTTTGATGGAAAACTGAACATGCTGTGGTTCAGGACACAACACTCAGTCGACCTCTCTGAAACGGTGTTTCTTGGCATGTAACTACAGCTCACCCGTAATGAAACGGCAGGCAGCATACACTCTGGTGAATTCTTGCAGTCCATTAAACAATTCACGCTACTGGAATTGTTTGTGCCAACTGACATGCCCTACTTACTAGGATGAGGAAAAACTCCGAAGACGCCAAGCCAAGAGAGAACAGCTGATGAAAAAGCGTAAGGATATGGAAGAGAGGTTGGAGGAGGAAGCCGTCAAAATGGCAGAGCTCACGGAAAGTGCCAAGAGGAAAGGGGAAAGCAAATTCATGAGCGAGGAAGCCAAGAGGGAAGCTGAAGAGCGTATTCGTGCAGAGGCAGAAGTAGTGGCTCAGTTGGAACGACAGGCCGCTGACATGGCTCTACAGAGGGTGAATATGCAGAAACAGCTAGCAGAACGAGAAGACATGAAAGCCGCGGAAATCGAAGCCAATACTTCCGCATTGAAGACGAAGCGCGCCTTGGTCGAGGCCCGAATGAGACAGGAGGAAGAGGAAATTAAAACTTTGAGCGAGGCTGCCAAGCGAGAGGCAAGTATTCCGTTGGCATAGAGCGGAGACATGAAGTTGCTCGTTGAGTTGTTAGATGCCAACTCGTGCTGCCTAACGCACAAGCTGTATGTTGCTTCGCCTACCTACCCCAACAGGTGGAGGCCAAAATGGTCGCTGAAGCCGCTGCCATTGCAGAAATGGAGCGGCAAGCTCTTCAGCTGTCTACCAAGCGTGCCGAGTTGCAGGCTGAAATGACGAACAAGCGTGAGCTCGAGGACACGTTGGTGCATGAAGCCCAATTGATCGCACGAAAACGTGAAGCAATCGAAGCGAAGATGCGGCAGGAGGAGGCAGAGCTTCAAAAGCTGAGCGACGAGGCAAAACAGAGAGTTCTTGAAAAGATGGCTGCAGAAGCAGCGGCAATCGCCAGGATGGAGAGGGAGGCACGCAAGCTTGCGGAAGAACGGGCTATTTTGGAATCCCAAATAGCGGAGCAGCGTTCTTCGAACGTCGCAGAGGGCACATCAGCCGTACCCACCAACACCCAGGACGACAATAAAGGACAAGTTGGTCACGCTGACCCAGTGGATTCCCAGGGTAGACCCTTGACTACCACATCTGGTCGCGATGAGGCTTGTGCACTGGTACCCACCGTTGGTGAAAACGCCGAGGAGACTACTGACGTGACCGAGAGAGCCGCGCCGCAATCTCCGAGTCCGAACATGAGAAAGGATCAAGGGGAACCAGGTCTTGTCGAAAAATTCACTTCAACCTCCAGTGCAGCAAGTCTGGAAGTGCTGAGGTATAGCGAGACGACAGACGATGGTTTGGCTCGTGCTGGCAGTGTTCAGGTAGACGGCAGCCACTGGAACGGTCACCAAGCATTCCCCCCGGCCGACTTCATCGATTCCGGAGTGTGTGCTCACTGCCGCACTCACCAGAGGGAAATGTCTACAGCGCATTTGGCCGCTGCAGCTGGACACTTGACTTGCCTCGAGACAATTCAATCTACCCGACGCGAGATGTTGGCGGAGGTTGATTCCTCTGGTCGAAGTCCCCTGTTCTACGCGTGCGCGAACGCTCACGCTGATGCTGCGGACCTGCTGATTCAGGAAAGCCCTCAAAGCTGTCACGCGATGGATGTCAACAGAGACACCCCACTTCATGCTGCCGCTTTAGCGGGGTCGGGACTGTGTTGTCGGCTTCTCCTTCAGCACGGGCGAAGTGAGATTGAACCCCTCAATGAAATGAAAATGACGCCAGCCCATCTCGCGGCAAACAACGATGTCTTAGAGGTCTTATCGCAGCACGGGGCAAATCTCAATGCCAAGGTGGGTCTTGCCGAGTGTTTTGCTTTCGGAAAGGGTGTGGACCGGTAGAATTTTTCTCGCGTAAACGCACCAAGCCGCTGGTGTCCTTACACATCGCCTTGCTGACACTCCTTGCAGCTCCACTGGAACACCCTATGAGAACCCCAACAAATGAAACGTTGATGCTGTGCATATTCGTTCAACTTGCAGGATGCGGACTTGCGAACACCGTTGTTTATCGCCTGCGCTTCCGATCGACTGGAGAAGGCGGAGTTTCTCTGCGAACTGCTCGAGTGTGCAGATCAAGATCTTGGTGAGGTAGACAAGCGCGGTGACACTCCAATGCACGCGGCAGCGTACAACGGTAGCACAGCATGCCTTCTACTCTTGCTGCAATATGGTGTCGAACCGGATGCAAGAAACACGAAAGGCCTCCGGCCTATTGACCTTGCTTCACGGAGAGGCCAATCAGCGTGCGAGAAGATATTGATGGAATATCAGTTGCACCATCATGTCAACAACTCATACTTCGATTCGGTCCTGTTCCTGGCTACTCTCGAGGTGAGCTATTTATCACAACCATATTATTGTTTTTTTCCGCCACTCACGTGGCCGGTGTTTGCCATCGGGGTTGGGTTTTCGTCGCTTGGCAACGACGTTGCAAAACAAGCCAATTCACTTCGTGAACTCGGCAACCAGGTCACCGTTTTTTTTTACTTTACCTCTTTTTTTTTTGGCGGTAACCGTAATGGTGGTCGAGTAGATCATGCTGTGTGGGGTGGACAATCCTCACTCCGCGCAAGGGGGATGATCGCACCACGTTTGTTAAAATGGTCACGCATCCTCGAGGCAGTTACACAGTGCTTACAACTGTCTCTGGAAGTGAAAGCACCAGAAATTAAATTAATTCAAACGCAGCTGCCATCCGCACGTAAGGAAGTGAGCACAAGATGCCGAACACCGTTAGCAGGATGCAGCGCACCCTTCATGCGACTCGCCGAATATCTCACGGCGCTTCGCGCTTGGTGATGTGAGAGCCTGGTCCGGTGAGAACCCGGCGTGCTCCGTCCCGGCTTTGTAGGGATGCGAGGTCAACGGTCTAACGACTACGGCATGCACGACTATGAGTACTCACGTGGCCAAAGGGATCACCTGGATCGTGGTTTCTGATGGAGAAGAAACGTGCCCGATGTATGCACCAGTGTTGCGGGCATGACCGGATGTGAAATTTTCTGTTTGTCGAAACAACTTCTGGTGATGCCGTCTCTGAAACTGCCTCGTTTCTGTCTTTGCGCACATGATCAAGCAGGGACACAAACGATGTAGGGAAACTCTCAACAGTGTCAAGCAGCAGGGAGATACCACAGCTGGAGCCCAGGAAGACTCGGCGCTTGTCCGCCCTCAGTCTCTGATGTCTTTACGCCGTGAGCGTTCCGTACGGCTTGAGCACTGGGGAGACTGGATTTCGTATGAAGACCAGAACGAGAAGAGCGTGTTTTGGTACAATCACGTCGAAGAAAAATCACAGCGAGACGCGCCAACCGGGGTTCGCGAAGGCAGCGCAAGCTCTCTCACCAAAGCGTCCATGCGACTGAAGCGAGAGGGTGACTGGATAGAGTACACCCTCCCGGATGGAAACGTTTTTTACTACAATGACAAAAACAACGAGTTCCAGTGGGAGCGACCCGACGATCTCTCTTCGACTGCTGCTGTCTCTCAGGAATGGGCCGACGAAGATGAACGCCTCGAGGGCGATACTGGTATTGGCGGTTCTACAGGAGATTGGATGGCGTTCAAGGACCCATCGACGGGGTTAGTATTTTGGTACAACCAGGTCACCGATGAATCGCAATGGGAACCACCCGAGGAGGATAGAGAAAATGGGGACAGAAGGGCAGACACTGAGAGTCGTGCAGACGGCAATTCAATGGTGCCAGAGGACAACGTACGAGAAATTGACTCGGTGGACGACCTCTTTACTCCCCGATAGCATTCTCCTGGTGGAACCACACGCGGCCTAGAGGGTAGTTACTGAAAGATGCGCTGGTCGTGTAATGTCGCCGTGGACGCTGAGATGCAAGGTTTTTAGATTTGCGTGCATAAACTGAGCAGGAGTACGTAGTACACCGTTATTCCAAATTAAATGGGATGCAGTAAGGATGTGTACGCCGAAAATACCAGAAGAGCAACACAGATAATTCTTAGATAGCCGTGTGTTGTTGCCGATTAGATATAGCTCCGTCTACGAACTGACCACCACTGTTCAGGGTCACAATGAGCATGCGGGCACGGAAATGGGAACAAGTCAATTAGTTAAGCGGTTGGCACAGAAGAGACTTCGCTTGTTTCCGCCGGCCGTACTCTTCGTATCTGATTGGGCTGAAAGTTGCGCCGGTCGTCAACGACAATAGTAATGGCTGCACAGGTTCCTTGCACTCGGTCCAATAAATGTAAGTAAATGGATGGTCATACGAGACAGAGATCTCGAGTGAACCTGTTGAGCACTAACTAGGGTTGAAAGTCATTGAGGGATTTATGCGGACCAATTTTCTTCAAAGTGCCCATTGTAGACTAAATATGATGCCGTTTCCAACACCACGGTTAGGTACGCATGCATGCGTGCGTTGTCGTGACACATACTTGAAAAATGAAGGAAGTCAATGGGAGTTGAGCATCCAAAGCTCATGTTAAAAATGATACAAGCTGGGTCAGGGAAGTGGATACAACAAGAGTCAACAGCAAAACTTCACGCCGTTTTTAGGAGTTAGACTCTGAAACTTTGCACACATGTACCATGGATCATTACGCAACGCTGTGTGGAGGGCCCTTTTTTTTTTTTCCCTGTCGCCGGATATTCGGGGTCGTGGAGAATTCGGGGTCGTGTGCGGCTCCTGGGACCCCGAATAACCGGCGACCATGGAAGGAAATGAAAAAGGGCCAGCCGCACAGCGTTTCGTATTGACCCAAGGTATATGTGTGCAAAGTTTCAGAGTCTAACTAAAAAAAACGGCGTGAAGTTTTCAGCTCTTGTGCCATGAAGTATTTCGCATCCTAAAATGCCCCAAACTACTTGATTAAAGTATGAAACGGCGAAAATCAGGTTCTTTTGACGCCCAAACGACCCCATTTCATCAGTTTATCGAATTAGTTCATGAAAGTTCATAGACACGGTTTTTGGAATATGTAGGTAAGGTAGAATCAAGCAAAAAAAAAAATCACATATTGGGACAGATTTTTGGGGTCCCGCAAAAGAGGCTATCTCCAACGCAGTTTGGCCCACCGACGGCAAGTCATAAATCGACCATTTTTCAACCGTAAATTTATTAGGCAAGTTTATGGGCGATGTCGACGAAACTCCATGCGAAGCTTCATTGCACTATAACGGTGTCGTTGGTTAGAGAAAGAATCACAGCCATGTTACCGGCATGTTGGGGTCTGCAGAGAATCTACCTACTTATTAGACGGAAACACCGACCGTGCTGCCCCGAAGAGAGATTTTTTATCATCGCAGCGCGGCCTTGTGCCAGCTGAACTGGGTGATAAAACACTGTTGATTCATGCACCGAGAACGCAAACATGCCAACATGCATGGACCGGTTTGCTGAGGGTCACACCGCGGCCGCTGCGTGTGCGGCGAGAACCTCCGGAGGGTCGGCCACGCTGATGTCGCTCGTGAGTGCATCAGTCACTGGGGGTGGCTGCTCGTGAGGCTTCAGCAGCGTGACGTGTTGCCCCTTCGTGAGCGTGAACATAGCCACGGCCTGTGCGTCCATTGCAGCATCCTCCTGGTCGCACTCTGCAACCCGCCGCTCCATGTATCTCCTACGCTGTTCTGATTTGCGATCGCGCCTGACGTACGCAAACGCCCGGCGCCCGAGTCCGGCGTTACGCAACCTGCTGCAGCGTAGGCGCATCAGGATTCTGGCATCCTGCTGCAACTCCCTCAAAGCTCTGGCGCGTTCCGCTTGTTTTTGGATGGCACACTTCTTGGCGACTTCGCAGTTCGGCGTCGTGCCTGAACACCGGTGGGGGGTAATTTTAACGAAGGACAGACCGGAACATACGGCGATAGTATGGCTGTTAATTAAACTGTGAGATAGAGCTTGGATACAAGGACTGTGTCTTGGTAGAAAAAACAAAGAGCACCTGTTAGAGGACCGTGCTCAGCCATGTGCTGTCGCGGTGGGATCGCTGCTGCGTGCACCTCGTNATCCTGCTGCAACTCCCTCAAAGCTCTGGCGCGTTCCGCTTGTTTTTGGATGGCACACTTCTTGGCGACTTCGCAGTTCGGCGTCGTGCCTGAACACCGGTGGGGGGTAATTTTAACGAAGGACAGACCGGAACATACGGCGATAGTATGGCTGTTAATTAAACTGTGAGATAGAGCTTGGATACAAGGACTGTGTCTTGGTAGAAAAAACAAAGAGCACCTGTTAGAGGACCGTGCTCAGCCATGTGCTGTCGCGGTGGGATCGCTGCTGCGTGCACCTCGTCTGGAGCACCTCCTCTCGATCGAGAAAAAGCGCTGCAACAGGAGTCACACCACGTTTTCTGCTGTCCACCGTGACACAGACAGTGTCCAAGTTAGCTCTGCTGTTGCCTAGCCCTTGTGGTACGGCCTGTGGCGCGCTTGGCTGGGGATGTAGTACCGATGCTCCACAACTTTGGAAAGCTTCCAAACTACTGGTTCAGAATTGTCGGGCCCAGGTTCGTTCCAAGATATTTTAAGANCTACTGGTTCAGAATTGTCGGGCCCAGGTTCGTTCCAAGATATTTTAAGAAATTCGAAGGAACGCCTCTGTACAAGTTCCAAATATTGGAACTTTGGAACTTTGGAACAAAAAATTGGAATAGGCGAATGTTCACGGGCCTGTCGACATGCAAACGTGAAACGCCTCCTGGTATTTACTGGTCCCAAGGAGGCTGCCGGTTCCACCGGGGGCGCCTTCCGGTGTAT